AAAAACCCAAGGTCAATTCAATGATGAAATCTCAATATTAGAGCAATATTACCTATGCATATTTCAGTAAACTTTATGTATACAATATTGTGTTCTAATCTCTTGCAACTATCATCAAGATGATGAAAGAGCAATATTGTTAAATGAATATGATCATCATATTGCAAATAATCATTGTGTTCAATATTGTGAATCCAACTTCCTGATTCTATATATTTGTACCATAATCAGATCCCAATACTATTTCGATGTTGTCATCACAATGTGCAAGCAATATTATCCATCTTGAGTTCAGTTAGTTATATTGATATAATATTGAGGTGTAATCACTTGATACTATCAACAGGATGATAAAGGGATAATATTGAGAAATGAAGATAATTCTATATTGCAAATAATCATTAGGTTCAATATCGTGAGTTCAACTTCTTGATTCCATTAATGTGTACCACATCAAAAACTCAGTGTAAATTCAATGATACAATCTCAATATCAGAGCAATATTTCTAATGCTTATTTCAGTCAACTTTATGTATACAATATTGTGCTGTGATCTCTTTTGAAACTATCATCAAGATGATAATAGAGCAATCTTTATAAATGAATATGAATTTCATATTGCAAATAATCATAGTGTTCAATATTGTGGAACCAACTTCCTGATTCCATATATTTGTACCATAATCAGATCCCAATATCAATTCGATGTTGTCATCACAATGTGCAAGCGATATTATCCATCTTGAGTTCAGTCAGTTATATTGATATAATATTGAGGCGTAATCTCTAGATACTATCAACATGATGATAATGGAGCAATATTGAGAAATGAAGATTAGTTCAATATTGCTAGCAAACATCAGGTTCAATATAGTGAAGTCACCTTCTAGATTTCATATATGTGTACCATATCAAACACCTAATATCAATGATGAATTCTCAGTATTAGAGCTTTCTCGCGCACGTTCGAGTGTTACCGTGAACGACAAGACTAGTCTCCACTGTTGCCATCTTGGTTTTGTCACTAAATCTAGTATTTTCAGTAGTAATACTATAATACTATAAGTACTTCAAAAGATTAGGGCTAAACATCGATAACTTTTGTTGCATATAATTACGAAGAGTATCAGTTTAACAGTTGAAATAATCCAATCACGATGCGAAAGGATTATTATGTTGAACGGACACGATTATTTTTAATTGTGCAGAAAGTTTAAGATGCATAATCTTGAAGATTTCAAAGTTCGAATTGTATTCGATGCGATTATTTTTTGCGTAGTTCTGAACGAACGTCTGAATTTGACCATACGCTTTGTTTGTATGTGACAATATGCATTGATTAGTAAATGGAAATGGAAATAATTCTAAAAAAATGGCTGCTCCAAGATGGCGGACAAGATTTGGTCCCATTCCATTCAAAATTGGTAAATGGGGGTTTTTGAGGTCGACGATCATGATATTTTTGTTAAAATTTGTAAATTCAAGATGGCGGCTTCCAAATAAGTTTATGTTTTTGTATAAATGACGATAACTCCGTTGTTATCAACACAAAACTATAACTGCGACATGTCATCTGTAAGAGGAAAAAAAGTTATTTGTAACTAAGTCATAGTGAGCTATGAGCTTCATTTGAACAACTAAAGTTGGTGCTGATATCTCCAATTCTAGAAGAGTTATCATATTTTTTTCGAATTCACTTCGAAAAACTCCCATGAGAATGTGAAATTCCTATCTGAATATTTTCATGAATACAGAAGTTACGGAGGAGACATGAAAATGATCAAAATTTGTTTTCTGCGTATAAAACAAAAACGAATAGATTTTATCAAAATATTTTTTCACATTATAGTTGGCCTTGACAAACTCCACATTTGGTGTAATTTAACCGACCTCGTATCTCTCACCGTTAAAAAGATACCCATCGTGAGCATGGTAAGTGGGACACACTGTATAAACAAATGCGCAAAGTGGAATAATACATAATTGGTGATGAAATGTTCATTTCAACACAAGTTATGAAATGAAACGAAATTATGAATGGATGAATAAGAGAATAGTGCATTTTGTGTTGCTTTCTCCATATCACTTGGGGATTCTGAACTTGTGCACAAATATTACATCAAACAAATGATTTTATTTATTGTGGAATTTCAATTCAAGATACACCTAGGTAGGCATTCCAGTTTCTTCACATTATTCTGATATTCTTGTCTGAACAAGAAATGTATGTTTCTAGTATAACGTGTCTACTAGTACACCCGACAACACTGTCGGGCAAATACCTCAGGTCATAGAGTGACTATCTTTGCTCGACACTCACTAACTCAGTTCTTTCAGTTGTCTCATAGAGTCTTCAAGCGTGTGGCGTGGATCGCGAGTGGTATATTATAACAGTGGTGCAAAAAATAATAAGGTAAAATTACTTATCCCAATTATTGATACTAGTTCAACTTTGATACAATTTTGATTTTGTTCTTCCTTGCCATACCATGTGCTGATGCTGCAAAATCCAAAAATTTTTTCGACCCCTCGATGCCCTCGTGCAGTTTGGTAGTTCAGTCAGAAAAATGTTTTTACCTACTTACTATGTAACAAGTATAAGTTAACCTATTGATATCATTCGAGTACTAAAGTCCATGTACCTAAGTTAAATCGTAGATACTTTTTTGTTACGTACACATCAGTGTTCGCCATAAGTTATCCAGCAGCACAACAATGTGTACCTACTCATTTCAGCACGATATCGAAACAATATTGTTGAGAAGTTATTGGTACAATATTGGGAAATAATGATGGAATAATATAGGATCCCTAGATTTGTTAAAATATTGTACCTACATACCTAGGTATTGAAGATGCTTTATTGATAACGATAATGCGATTTTCGAAACATAATGAGTATTGTTAGATGATGAAACTTCAATAGGTACCTTGATCTCGGGGTAGGTATATACAATGTGTTCCAATATCGATGATTTTCTCAGTTGTCTCATTCCAGCACGATATCGAAACAATATTGTTGAGACGTTATTGGTACAATATTGGGGAATAATGATGGTATAATATAGGATTCCTAGATTTGGCAAAATATTGTACCTACATACCTACCTAAGTACAGATGCTTTATTAATAACGGTAATGCGATTTTTGAAACATATGAGTATTGTTCGATGATGAAACTTCAATATAGGTACCTAGATCTCGGGGTAGGTATACAATGTGTGACATTATCGATGATTTTCCCAGTTGTCTTTGGAGATAGAGAGTTGCGGTTTTCACATTACTAAATTATTTATGTTGGCCCTGTTGGCCCAACTTTGATACAAATTTTTTACGTATATACAGGAAATCCAAGATGAATATAAAAGAATATACAGGGTTTCCTATTCAAACATAAAAAGTTGAGGTTGATTCCGGTTGAAACGGAAGTGATTTTATCAATAAATGATTAATTTGGTATACCTAGTTGGTACCCACGAAATTTCGAAATCCTATCACGATTGATTCAGAAGTTACAGCACTGGCCGATTTCTATACACTTCTCACAGTTCTGCTTTTCTTACGTAGAATACACTGGCGTATTTATTTGACGTCCATAAATGATTATTGTTCAGAAAATGGAGCCAACATGAATTCTTTTCAAATGAGACATTAGTATGTTCATGTATAGTTGGACTCAGGTATTTTAAAATAGTACAGTATTGTGAAAACCGCAACGCTGTATATCCAAATACAACTGAGATATCTATCATAGAAAATGGGATAATATGTACTTACCTAAACAGGGTGGAGCGATAGTATGTTCTTCTTCGATATTAGCCAAACGTCAGATATACAGGGTGTTTCCGAAGTTGGGGCGATAAATGGAATGCGGTGTTTTATGAGACAGAAAAAATTTGTTCTGAAATTTTGTCAAAAAATGTGCGCTCACACCATAATTCATCTTTCAACTATTTTTGAACGTCCGGCAATATTGCAAAAGTCATTGGTACTTCCGGTGCTTGTGATCTCGCAGAAAGCAAATTAACGCTTGAATTGGGCTATTAACCTTTTATCGATGATTTACAAGAGTTTCAGGCAAACTTTGGAGCTCAATTTCTTCCAAAATGATTTTTTTCGTTTTGTTTTTCCGTCTCCATCATCCATTTCATTGATCACCCCAAGTTAGGAAACACTCAGTATAGAAAAAATTCAAATACAATAATTATAAATTATAATGTTCCATGATAACTGTCACCTAAAATTATTTTCAAATCTATAGGGTGTTAGCATTCCAAGATATATCGGCCGATTATGTGTTTTTTTGAATAGGACACCCTGTATATTTTCGCATTCATAGATTTTCCGTGTGAGGCTGGTTTCAGAAATGCATAACACTTGAGGTCCAGCGAAAATGATTACAGAGGTATAGGGTGTTCAAAATCTAGATTTTTCAATTTCTGGATTTTTTTGTGTCGAAACTATTCATTATTGTTCGAAACGGCTTACATGTCCTTAATTTAACCATAGATTAATGACTCCCCCGTTAATCTATGATTTAACAATCGATTTACTATTTACTGATATTTAATTGGAACAGATCCAGGGTGGAGCAATAGTGCTTTTGAGCTCGATCATCAAGTTCTATACAGGGTGTTTCATTGGGGAAGGTAAATAATTTAACCCGGCGTATGACACGTGGGGTATGATACACCCCAGCGCCCGAAAACTCTTACAGAACTTTCTGAAACATGAGTCCTCGCGCCTGCGCCGCACAATAGCTTCCGACTGAATATTTACCTTTGCACCTACGCACAAGCGGCAGTCATCTATCGCATCTTCAAGTGAGCACGTCGCTTCAAAGTAGACTGGGGTGTGTCATACCCCACTTGTCAGTTCTTGAAACTTTTTTCACCGGTGACGATTTTCTTCTTGGCCAGCTGAATAAGGTGAGAGCAATTTTTCCAGAAGTTGTTTTGTCACTAAATTAGCTGTTTTTCCATTTGTGACTATTTAGCAGAATGTGCGATTGGCAAAAAGAACAGGATCGTCTGTTGAACCTCTGGGAGGAGCATGAAGCCATTGAACCTTATATTGACGAGGAAGACTCTGAAGAAGAGGATGAAATCGACCACCTTAGTACCAATACCGACTATTCTGATCAAGAGCAAGCAGCAGGGGATGAAGAAGTGAGAGGAATACAAGAAGAAGAACATCCAGAAATGGAAGAAGAAAGGGAAAGAGAACCTGGAAATACTTTTTTTGTAGGAAAAAAATGGCACGAAATGGTCTAAACAAAAACCAAAAAAGAATGTGAGGACCAGGTCTGACAACATTATTACACATTTGCCAGGTGTGAAGCCTTATGGAAAAAATGCTAAGACTCCGATAGAGTGTTTTCAGCTTTTCATAGATGAAGAAATGATCGCTGATATCGTGAGAAACACAAATTATAGAATTGCTGAAAAATCCGAAAGATGGAAAAATTCACCACATTATGTGGAAACAACAATTGTCGAAATGAAGGCCCTCTTTGGTCTCCTTTATTTAGCTGGTGTTTTCAAGAATAATCACAGAAACTTGCATGAATTGTGGAACACTGACGGCACCGGCATGGATATATTCAGATGTACGATGAGCCAAAGGAGATTTGAGTTTTTACTCTCTTGTTTACGCTTTGATAATAAAAACAACCGTATGGATAGATTGAAAATTGATAAACTGGCCCATATAAGAGCTGTTGTTGACAAATTTGTCGAAAATTGTCAGGCGGTTTATTCGCCAGCAGAATATCTGACAATTGATGAAAAATTAGAAACATTTCGCAGTCGATGTTCTTTTAGGCAATACATACCAAACAAACCAGCAAAATACGGCATCAAAGTTCAAGCCTTAGTAGACGCCCGCAATTACTTCTTGGTGAATATGGAGGTATATGTAGGTCAACAACCTGAAGGTCCATTCAGATATAGTAACAGTCCAAAAGATATCGTTGACCGATTGGTTGCACCAGTCTCAGGAACAAGAAGAAACATAACATGTGACAACTGGTACACCAGTGTTGATCTTTTTCAAGACCTCCTACTGAAGCACAAAACTAACGGCAGTGGGAACTATACGAAAAAATAAGCCACATATTCCTCCAGAATTTCTAGAAACTCTCGCAATAAAGAAGAACTATATTCAAGCCAGTTTGGATTCCAAAAAGATTTGACACTTCTTTCTTATTATCCAAAGAAAGGAAAAGTCACATTACTTTTGTCATCTTTACACCACGATGATATAGTTCAAGACAACGAAAAGAAACTTCCAGAAATGATCTCCTTCTACAACTTCAGTAAATGTGGAGTTGATGTAGTTGACGAAATGTCCGCATCTTATAGTGTTGCTCGCCCTAGTCGACGCTGGCCATTGACCATCTACTTTTCATTGCTGAATACCACATCTATCAACTGTCAGGTTATATTCCGAGAAAATAAAAATGGCAAAAAACTTCCCAGAAGACTTTTCATAAAAGAATTGGGCATGCAGTTAGTGAAAGAACAGCAATCGCAAAGAATAGGAAATCCTAGACTTACACGTGAGTTGCGCACCACCATTCGCACAGTTTTAGGTGATATTCCCGAACCGAAACCTAAAAGACTGAGGCCAAATCAACAAGGAAGATGTTCGGAATGTCCCAGGGCTCGAAATAGGAAGACTAGATACGTTTGTGAAGCTTGTAGTACTTTTATATGTATGGAGCATTCATTACTATACTGCAAAGATTGTGCAAATTCAATCGAATTGAATGCTTCGTAGCTCTTTCAATTTTTAACGCATTTTTTTTTTAAATTAAAACTTACAATTTCAAAAATATATTCTTGTAATCTATTAAATCAAAAATGTACATGGTTTTTCAAATATTGAAATTGAATCACATAATACATTTCATGTGAAGAAATAACAAGGTTTAGTGGTTCTTGTACATTTATAAAAAATACATTATAAAATTTGACTTTTTGTGTTTGATTTCATGAGAACAAACAGAAAATAATGAAAATAGAATAACAAAACCAGAATATCTGTAGAAATGAGTAGAACTTTTTTATATGAAGATGGGGTTTCTCACACCCCACATGTCGGAACTTGAAAAAAAAATTCACATGTCACACGCCGGGTTAACTATGGATAGGGGTCACTAGGGTGATTTCATAAAACCCATGGTTGATGGGTCTTCGTCTTCTTATAACCGAGATACAGGATGTTTCATCAATTTTGTCCATATCTTCATTGTCTCATAACTTTCCAACCAACCTGTATATATTTTTAAAAATTGGTACACTTGCTCAATCTACCCTGTGGGATTGATTGGGTCCGGCTTCACTCAAAATTCACAAATTCTTTCTGCCAGAAAACAACACCCTATACATTCGAATTTCTCATTTTTTTGCCATATCTGAAAAGAACATCGAGATTTCTATTCAACGATGTGCTTTTCATTCGTGCACAGACGATTTTAACTATTCATATTATGTGCTCAAAATATTATTTTTGCTCATTTTGGGGTACAAAATTGGAATCAGACGAGATTTATTAATTTTATTACTTCCTATTCAGTATACGTGAGTATTACATTTAGAAGGAGTATTTCATATCGTTCTTTGTTCCAGACTTAGTTGCAGGTCCGTCATCAAAAAAGAGAAATTCGAATGTATAGGGTGTTATTTTCTGGCAGAAAGAATTTGTGAATCTTAAGTGAAGTTGGACCTGGATTTTATCTTTTGTTGTTGCCTCAATCAATTCCACAGGGTAGATTGAGCAAGTGTAACAATTTTTGATAATATATACAGGTTGGTTGGAAAGTTATGAGACAATGAAGATATGGACAAAATTGATGAAACATCCTGTATCTCGGTTATAAGAAGTCGAAGATCCATTAACCATGGGTTTTTTTAAATCACCCCAGTGACCCCTATCCACAGTTGAATTATTCTCCTTTCCCAATGAAACACCCTGTATATAAAATCTGATTTAAAAACGTGACAAAACTAATTCGAAGAGGGGATTATTTCAAAATTTTTCATTCTTGAATATGTATAGGGTAACACGGGAACCGGCCAACCAAACATAATACCTATATAAAATAATGGAAATTCATTGCCCTTCACTACAATTTTCACAAAAAAAGAGTTGAATCACTCAGCTTATAGTAAATACGACATTTTCAGACGCTACAAGAGTAGTGATTCCTACTACCTGCGAGAACGACATCCTAAGGCATGTTCGTTCTTGCTTGGCGCAAGCAGCAGATAGAGATGGGGGAAGGAAGTCCAGGCCTTCAGAATGACATAATGAATGGGAAGAAAATAAATTTTTGAATATTTCTCTTTATAAGAATTTGAGATATTATTTTTTTATTTTATTATACAAACCGACGTATATCTGAAAAGTTGATATTGAATATATTCCACTGTATATACTATCATACAAAGTGTTTCCCATTTCGAGATATTGCCGATTTTAGATAGGTTCAATATCGAATATTATCTCATAAACTTTCCAGTATACATTGTAGCATTCAATGTGAAATCAGTCTTATTTCGTAGACTTCTGGAAATATCCATTACTAACTCAATATCTACATAATTATCCTCCTCGATACAAAATGTCAACATATCTTTTCAATATATTCACAACACTGAAAATCATTGTTGTATAAACGGTTAAATGAGACATTGATCAATTTGATCAAATAATATGCCAGCTTAGTGATGTTCAATATGAAAAAAATATTATATGTATGTATATGTATTAAGGAGTTTGAATCTCAATTGCCAATACCATATTCTCACTCGATATCTATATGAATATAAACCATCGATATAAATTTTGAGGATTATTCTGGTTGAATTTCAAAATCAATTCCCAAACAAATTCGCAATATTGAACATCAATATCATTTCATCATTCAAATGCGAGAGTGATCCATATGATCTATCAATATTCCCAGCATAGTGATGTTCAACATGGAATGAATATCGTCTTAAGATATAGGTATACTGAGAAGATTGAATTCCGATGGTGATTCAATATCATAATCTCTGTGTATAGCTGAATGGTATGTGTATGATTGATCGATATTATTCTGTATACAGGTTGGCCCACGGTCGATGGTACCTTAGACGTATATGGAAAACGGTACATCGGATTATCTTGAAAATTTGGTTACTTCAATAAGCGTTCGTGATCTAACGATTCAAATTATTTTCAGCGAAGCAGCGTTGCCACTTTTACCAAAAAGTAGCATCATCTTTGTTACTTCAAATAGAACACCCTGTATTTTATTGCGTTTTTAGATTCTTCTCGAAAAGCTGATTTCATCAATGTATCACACTTGGGGTCTAGCGGGAATTATTACAGAGATATAGGGTGTTCAAAATCGAGATTTTTCAACTTTAGGATTTTTTTGTGTCGAAACTATTCATCATTGGTCAAAACGGCTTACATGTCCCTATTTCAACTTTTGAACAACTATCTACCGACATTTAATTGGAAAAAATGCAGGATGGTCCAAGATTCAGAATTTTGATCACCCTGTATCTGTTCCAATTAAATGTCAGTAGATAGTGAATCAAAAGTTGAGATAGGGACATGTAATCCGTTTTGATCGATAATGAATAGTTTCGACACAAAAAATTCCTGAAATTGAAAAATCTCGATTTTGAACAGTGTGATACATTGATGAAATCAGCTCTTCGGGAAGAATTTAAAAACGCAATGAAATACAGGGTGTTCCATTTGAAATAACAAAGATGATGCTACTCTTTGGTAAAGGTGGCAACGCTGCATCTCTGAAAATATTTTGAATCGTTAGATCACAAACGCTTATTATAGTAACCGAATTTTCAGGATAATCCAATGTACCGTTTTCCGTATACGTCTAAGGTACCATCGACCGTGGGCCACCCTGTATGTGCCGATAATTATCTCTAGTCTAATGCTGATATTAAAAGTCAACGTTGTGACAACATTCCAGTTGAAGATTAATGAATACTTATTTGTCATCAATGACTATGCTTAGTGATGTTTAATATGAAATAAATATATCTCGTGAAACTATTAGGAAGATATACTTCGTGCGCTCCAAGTGATAAAAAACTCCATACTGTCACCCAATTTCAACTCAAATTGTCTTTTGATATTAAAC